TTTCACACACACACACACACACACACACACACACACGCACGCACGCATGTGCATGGTAAAATTAGCCAGGTGAGGTGGTACATGCCTATAATCCAAGCACTCTGGGAGTTTAAGGCAGGAGGATTACAAATTTAAGCCCAGCCTAGGAAACTGACCAGAAAAATAAAGGGGCTGGGGATTAGCTCGGTGCAAAGGCCCTGGGTTCAATTCCCAGTACCCCCACCACAAAAGGAAAAACTAAGCTCAAATTGTATGTGGATTAATTTTGGTAACAGAACTGCCTGCTCTTCTAAGCTTCACTCCTCATCCAAACACCCTCCCTGTTTGGGTTTTCTTATCCAGTTTCATTTCCATGCAACGAAGCTTCCCCATGCCGAACTAAAGTCCCACCAGCTTCGAAACTCAGCCTCCTCTGGAATGCAGCCCACCACCCAGCACCAGCTTTGCCTTGCGCACCTTTGGGCTATTAATTGTTTTAATTAATCACTAATACATTAATTCTAATAATTCTTTCCTGGGAATGAGAAATTTAGAAATTTAGAAAACGGAATTTATCTACTGACTGCATTAACAACACTCCTAGCTTCTTGACTATAAAGACCGGTCTGCTCCTTCCTGTTCTTGTGAGGGCTGACAGCTGTCACACCCTTCCCCTCAACGCTGAGCACATTAAGTCAACCAACAGCTCTGACCACAAGGTGACTTTGTGGGAGAGCTGCTGAGAACTGTGTTCAAATTTTCACCTATCGATTATTCAGATTATTTAAAAAACATTTAAATTACTTTTAAATTCAAATTTTACACAACATAGCTCGCCATGGGGCACTTGGAGTAGCTAAAGACAACTGGCAGTGGGCACGCAACACCCATAAGTCACACACTGGCCCCACGGCTCACAGACGCATTTGCTTGCAAACAAATGCTTTTGGCAAAATGTTGTGTTTGCAGAGTCTGCACTGGGTGACAAACACAACCTTGGCCATCTTTCCCACGCAAGCACAAACGTGGTCATCTTTTCCAAAATCGTAGAACAAATCAAGTTTGTGAACCAAGGTACCACTATATGCTTTCAAGCTTCAGCCCGGGTACATATACAAACCAAAGCTGGAATCAGTCACTCTATAACGCTCCAGGGATGGAACCCAGGAGCACCGACCACTGAGCAACACTACCCCCCTTCAACTTTGAGACAAGGGCTGGCTAAATTGCCCAAGCTGGCTCTGAACTTGAGATCCTTCTGCCTCAGCATCCTGAGTGCTAGGATTACAGGCACCCACCACCACAGCCAGCTGGTGACTTTAAATGACTGCAGTATTGACACGAGTGTGACAGGTAACTTAACACAACTCCTTTCTGCAGGACTGCTTTTTACTCCGATTCCTGAGTTTCTCTTCTACCAGTTCCCTGGGACAAGATCCCCAAAGGTGAACCTTGGGTGAGCACACGGAAGGTGTGGCCCCGATGTGTGCTTGCTCCCCCTGGCTGAGAGTGAAGGACCCTACCCAGCACTCTTCGGTGGGCAGGGACCCACGTCCAGCCCGGGCGACAGGGGTGCTTTTGAACGATGACTCGAGTCTGTGATCTGAGGATGACCTGGGGTTATGTTAACGCGCCAGCAGAAACAGAAAGGGCCACTTAGAGTTAACAGATTCTTAAGAGCCAACAAAAAGCTTTTCTGGACACGACACTAAACACAACAAGGGAAGTAACCTTTAAAAAATGCAAGTTCTCCCCAGACAAGGTCTGGCTGACCGTCTGGGGACAACACTATGGCCGTTAGGTCTCTGGCAAAGAATCAAGACTGCCAGAAAACAAGTCCGGTGTAAACAGACTGCCACGCGTCTCCTCCCTGATGCTTGCTGACTTCTACTTCCTGCAGCCGCTAGCTGACAGAGCCCAGCACCTACCTATCCTGCCCAGATAAGACGACTCTGCAGTGAGGGTTTGGTTTTTGTGGTATTACGGATTAAACCCAGGGATGCTCCACTACTAAGATACATCCCAGCCCTTTTGACTTTGATACAAGTTCTTGTTAAAATGCTGACTGGCGTCAAATTTGCAATCTTCCTGCCTCAGTCTCCCAGGTAGGTGGGATTACAGGAATGTACTTTTAGGCCCAGCTTAGGAGCAAATGAGCAGAGAGCTCTGTGCAAATTATTTTCCGCAAGTATAAACATTTAGAAAAGGTAAACAGTAGGAAATTACCGCTACACTGAAATGTCATGAGAAAGAGGTATAAAGTGAAGTCTAAAGGGACCATGAAATTCAGCTGATACCCAGAATCTTTGGACAGAATTAAAATTATAGCCAGCCAGGGGAATTTTACTTCTGTTGAGGAAAAGTGCTCTCAAAGTCCGTGCCAGGCAATCAGCTCAGTGTGGTGCCCACGGCAGCCATTAGCAAGGGCTGCCGTATTGGCCAGACACAGGCGTTTCTCTCATTTACACTGTATGGAATCAGCATCCTTCTTCCGAGATAAGGAAAAGAGCTCTGGATGAGGAGCACTCACCGGACACAGGGCTGGCACAGGCTGGAGGTAGAAACACGCGCCAGGTCTGCGGGGATCTGGCTGGCAGGCAGGCGCACTGGCCTCTTTGAGGCCCCACCTGATCTCCCACCTGGATGAGTTCAGCACCCACCCCTGTCCCCAGTACTTACCCTCAGAGCCACCTGGCTGCTCCTGAGAGTTGGAGAAGCTATGCCAGGTAGACGGCTGTGCCCGCGAGACAGCCAGGGTGGGGTGAAAGAAACACGGGACACCAATTTGTAATCAATGCTTTTTATCTTTGAAAATGGAAGCAAGTGCTTTGACAGAACACTATGGCTGCTCTATAAGAGCCGATCTAGGAGTAATTCACTGTCCTCCTCTGGGATGTCGCGGCATTTTAAAAAAAAAGATGAAGACAAAACAGGAAAGAGAATCCACAATGCTTCAGGCGCCTACTTCGAGCATGGCTGGGCATCCACTCCTTAAATACACCACAAGCTGCACACTCAGGTCAGGGTAACCTCTCCTCACGCTCCCTCTTCGCTCTGAACCACATTCCCTTGGTGTTTCACTACCATCTGCAGCAATGCTGTCTACTTCATTTGATATCAGAACCTTAACACATCTTTGAATCTTAGAAACAAAGGTCCTTAGCAGATTACACTGATAAAGAGATAATGTAGGTTTGACTGTAAGCCACTGTAATTGCTTTACGTCTCACTGTTCACTTCAATATTAAAATCACACACACACAAACACACAAAACCGTACCAAACGTTCCGATGCCCTGAACTGTGAGGACAATGCGCCTGTATTATTGGCCGCGGACGGGGAGCTCTTCCAGGTGCGCCATACCCAGCTGCGGCCACACCATACTCTGTCCACTTTCCTGTAGTCACCTGCGTCCACACCAGCACAAGCCCGTGCCCGGGAGCTCCCTGTGAGGTCGCCATACACCATATGGGTCACAGTGAGGCACCTGACCCTTCCCACAAGTCTGGCTCTAAACATGCAATCCAGAACACAGACACGAGGCAGGTGCCCAGCTAACCTAGGAAGGAGCAGGATCAGTGCTCGCTCTCTGGCCCCTCCGAGTCCATGGAGCCTCTGTGCCGTGACACAGCCACCGTGTGAGCTGGAGAGGGAGAGCAGGAGGACATAAAGGGACACAGCCGTACACGTCACAGTGACAGCAGAGCCCGGCACTCCTGTGTCTGCTTCATTCATTCGCCTCAGTGTCAACATTCACTAGCACCCTCTGGCCTCGCCTTGAAGGGTGTGATTAGGGCCGACAGGCAGGCAGACAGGCAGGACTGGCTGGTCACAGCAGACGGGAGGAGGAAGGAAGCCAGGGGCTTTGGGTGTAAGGAGAGCTGCTCCTCCTCCAGCACAGCTCAGGGACGGCAGGGACTGAGCAGGAAACAAAGGACCACCTGGAAGGGCTCCCCTCCGTGCTCCCTGGTTCAGTCCCCACCACTGCACCGCAGAGAGGCACACTGCTCAGACGGGCAGGAGGAACACTCCTGGCCCGGGAGCCCTCGTCAAGTACTGACCAAAACTTGAACCATGATGTTCCAAGTGACGACCGTGACAGACTCTGTGTGTAACAAAACTGCAGAAACACATGCTAGTTTAGGTTAGATTATAATCATCTGAAGCACAGGATCAAGAAGCAAAATTCCATTCTGGTACAACCACCCAATTTCTAGAAAAGAGAAAGGAAAGAAAGGAGGAGATACGATTTGAGCTTTTTTGATCAGAAGACTGAGGAATGGGGGCGGGGTACTGTGTGTCACATGATTTTTCAAGTCTTCCTTTTGTATAGTCATTAAGACGACAGGTTTGTGCTGCGAATGAGCCAGCACCACGTGGCTACTGCTCTGATTGTTCTCAGATGAATGTCTATACAAAATAATATCTTCATTTAGTTTATAAACATACACAGTGCTGTCCCTTTCAAATTAAGGGAAAAAAAACACACAAATACTGCAAAGTAGCAAAATACAAAGGAAAAAAAAGCTCCTTTTGGTTTTGGCAACATTAAAAAAAGAAAAGAAATATAAAAAGCAATGTGGCATTGGTCCCTAGTCATTTAAAAAAAGGTTTCTAGGGCCGGGGATTTAGCTCAGTGGTTCCACTGCCTGCCTCGCAAGCACAAGGTCCCGAGTTCGATCTCCGGTACAAAAAAAAAAAAAAAAAAAAGGTTCCTGGGTACGATGCTGAATCAGAATTGGTTTGTTTTCTAAAATTCTGAATATCTGGGATTTTAAAAGTAGCACTTTTGTCTTTTAAAAGTTCAACAAGTCACATAACACTTAAAACATCAAAAAAGCTTTCTGATAAAAAGCTCAGCTTTTGTTTTTGCAAATTAGGGAGACCAATTGAGTTCTTATTGGAATGTGGCCTATCGCTGGTTGACAAATCTGAAATGGAATGTCTCCAAATGGCAGTGCCTCTCTTTCTGCCCTCCCTAGGACCACACCAACAACCAGCTACCAAGCATAAGTTCTTGCTCCCATTTTTTTTTTTTTTGGAGGGGTGGGGGTGGGACCTTTAGGCTGCTATCTTCGCCATCTGCTGTTCTAATTTGGAAATACGCTCATCTTGATTGCAGATTGTGTCTTTAATAGATTTGATTTCTTTTAAAATTTCATCCAACTTGGCTTCATTTTGCTAAGAAAGCAAACAAAAAGAGGTAGTGACTAAAAAGCAGTAAACACAGTCCAACACAATTCCTATTACAAGATGTACAATATAATATTCTGCTTTGCAAACAGCAAACCATAATCTCCAAACTGAAAAGAAAAGTCAAACCCTACTGCACTTGGGCCTTATGAGAAGACAACTGATGCTGGATGAAGCAACAGAAATCTCAGTAAAACCATTGTGTCCCACAGAGCTACCTCTGGCCCCCGTGCCCGTGCACTTGGCCAGGCAGAGATTCTCTCCAATGGACAAGTGTAGGACAAGGCTGGATCCTCGGGGTCGGCCCTCTATCCCAAGCACCCACTTGCTCTATCAGGAGTAGCCTGCGTTTGACCGGGATGAGGGTGACGCTTTCAGAGGCTACAGAGCTCCTTTCCTCTCCGAACAGGATCTTAGGAGTCAAACCCCCTGCCTGAGTGCTGACTCTCTTAAACAGGACCGAGCCCTCCCTACTTGGAGCAGATGCTTCTGGAAACCTCATGACCACCAAAATCCACGGAACTGGCTCCCTGGTCATGGCCCCAAATGTCAGCTCCTACAGGCACTGCCTCTCCATTCTTCTCACCTTCTTCCCCTCTAGGCCCTGGACTCCCTGACCTCTCCTCCTGTTGTCCAGTCTTGCCAAGTCCATCTGTGCTGCCAGACCCTACTGTCACCAGACCACTGAGCAGCACCTGAACACTCCTACCACTTCCTCCTTCCAGGGTACCCTCACTCCCTAGCTCCTGTGACCCCACACCCCCATGTCAGACTTCGACCACATCACACAGGGGCTTGGGGAAAGTTAAGAAAACCCCACAAAGGTCCTTTACACTTTCAGAGATGGCGGGAAACTGGCAGGTACCCCATACAGTATAAAACTCAGAGTTTTAGGAGCCAAGCATGGCCACAAACCCACTAAGCCACTTGCCCGGGAACTTTTTCACATGCAGTGCGTAGGATCATTTACTGAAAACTCCTGTGTGTCAACCCTGGGTTAGGACTCAATGGCCTGGACAACTCAGGGCTTTCAAGAGGAAAAGGCCTGAGCCAGTGTGCATATCCCTCAGTCCCCTGCACTCCTTACCACGCTGGCCGTGTCTGTGGTTTTCTTGGGGGCAGTGATCGGGTCACACTTCTTGTTTGCAGCAGGCTTACTGTCTAGAATGTTCTTCTTGACTACTTTTAGATCCCTGTTTTTGCCTGGAATGTATCCATGCTTCAAGGAGATAAGGATCGGATCAGCATTCTTTCCCTCAAACCACTCTTCTGCCTCCAGGGCAGCTTCGGGCCCTGCTGTGTCAGGATACAAGTCATCTTGGAAAAGGTCAGACTGCAAGAGACATTTGGGGAAACTTCCTGTAAGGATGAATAAAACGGGTCTGGGAATTTTTTTTTTTTTTTTTTAAATATGAATTGCCTAGAAAACTGGGAACTCACCTTCCTGGGAACAGTCATGATAATAGGCTCACACTTTCTCTCATGAAGCTTGAAGAATCTTCAAAGGGAAAATAAAAGCAAAGTCACATGAAATAAAATATGAGGCTGACTCTACTTTTCTACAGTGTACGTGGGAAACGAAGCGCTTTTCTTCTTGTCACCCCCTCTGAGCCAGCCTGGAAGCGGCAGGACTTAATCTCCTGTTTTACAGATGAGAAAACTGAGGCTGAGAATATCTGTGCTAGGCAGACTGGAGACAACCATGAGTAGAGATCTATGAATTATGGTGACAGTCAAACTGTAATATCTGGGGACAGACTGCAGAGGAAATAGCAACACCGGCAATGAGCTGCTTTTTTTTTTAAAAAAAAGGTGCCTGTCACCAGACAGAAGAGATCACACAGCCTTATCTATGCCCTGGACGCTAGGTATTCTGCCAACTTGAGGTAGCTGAACACCTTTTAAGTAGAAACAAGATTTTTTAAAAAGAAAACAAAGCAATCCTAGGACATGAGATTTTGGCATCCAAGCAAACCACATCATAGGAAATGTGAAATTATCCAAAATATGGAGAGGGTAGGAATATAAACCATCTATTACCTTATGGAAGAGAGGAAAAAAATAGCTTCTAATGGAGGGGGAAAATCTTCTTTTCCATCTTACAACAAACAAAACCAGAAACTATTTATGATGAAAGTGATAAGGGCAAACGAAGGATGGGCAATATAACCCAGAGTTCTCGCAAGTTCTTGGCAAGACAGGCACACCAGACCGCCAGGTGGGGCAGCGGTGTGCAGGGAAGAGCCAGCAGTCAGGTGTGGGCCCTGGCGGGAACAGGTGCGTGCTCAGGAGAAACAGAAGCTGAGACTGCTCTGATGGTAAAGGTGCTTGTAAAACAGTCGTCTAATACCTAGCTACTATTTCAACAGAAAAGGTCACAGATAAAGCAAAAACACTTTTAAAGACTGATTAATGAACATTCTGCAGGCAGCATGGATGTGAAAAAATTGATTTCCAGCTCTACTATAACCTCTGAGGGTAGGACAACTTCCCAAGCCTCAAGCTCCTCATCCTTAAATGGGGACAAAAACTACAGCTACCTCAAAGGGTTGTTATGAGAAGACAGTCATGTAGCATGGTTAGCACAGAGCCCGATGTACAATCAATGCTCAATAAACAAACAGGAAGTGTCCTGTGTTCCTAAATACTGGATGCAATCTTAAATTCAGATTCAATCTGTTTTGAACCACATTCTGATTGCTCACAACACAATTTAAAATGATCTGTGACAGCTTTCATTACCTCAGCTATTAAAAAAACATAGTATTACTAAGGGTTTATAAAAATCTTTTTAGTATTATTTTTTAAAATGTAAGTATCAATTCTCAATCACGATCAGAGCAGCAAACTTTTTGTAGTGTTGTTCTGGGTGCTATGGATTGAACCTGTGTGAACTTTAAAGTCCGTATAAATGTCACCTTACGTTAATGTGGGATACGACCACCTAATAGTGCGGTGCCAGCCTGTTTCAAATGGCCAGTGGCCGCTGAGTTTCACAGGGTATCTTTCGTTGACTACTGTGGAAAAAAAGCCCATCCCTTAAGAAGCTCATTAGCATTAGAGGATATAAACAGGAGTAATACAGCAGCAGCAATTATAGGACAGAGCTGAATTTGTTAAGATAAACCACCTCACACCCTACTGTAGGAGCATTGGCTTGTCTAGTAGGGCCAGCAGGTCCACGGTCCTGTGTAGAACCCACTTCTTAGCCAGTCTGGCAGGGAAAATCACCCCCTTTCCTATCCTAAAGCCAGATTCTCACCTGCTCATCCGCCAGAGAATACTGGCTGTAGCCTCAGCTTATAGTCAAGAAATAAGGTTTCGTTATTTCAGTAAGTGTGCAACACATCTCAGCTATGTGCCTTAACTGCTACACTTCTGGTTGTATGGGCAGGGAATGAGGCAGAATTAACTCCATGCTGCACACAAAGGCAGACAGACGTGGGCATTACAAAACCACTTACAGTTGTACTGCTCTGATACTACACGGATGGCACAAACGACTGAATACTTTATCATGTTGACTCTTTACCTGGCAATCTCACATTTGTTAACATCAAGTCCCCTCTTGGGCATGTAACCCATCCCTCTCTGAGGCTCCTTGCTGCTGAATGTGTTGAGGTAGTGGACATACGGGGATTCATCCGTGATCTCAAAATAGCGGATACTGCTGTCACCCTGTAAGAAATGAGAGACGAGTGAGTGTTTAATGTTAACTGAAAGAGCTGGTTTAGGAAGGCGTCTCTTTCCTCTGTAACCCTAGCATCCATGGGGACCTGACTTCAGTAGCCCACCATTTCTCCCTCATAAACAGGCTTGCTTAAGTAGACAATAGTTGCTTTTCCTCAAAAATTAAGCCCTCACTACTTATCAGTCACCAGCAGGGTTTTAAATAGTCTCCTGTGTCTCCTTCTGAGGGCTCTAAATTTATTCCCCTAAATCCAGCAACCAGGTCAGAGTTAGGGCAACAATACTGATGCTTTTGCCAAACAACTGCATCGCAATTCAACTTCAAAAATCAGGGCCGGGGATGTAGCTCAGTGGTTCCACCACCTGCTTTGCAAGCGCAAGGTCCCAAGTTGGATCCCTGGTACAAATCAATCAATCAGTCAATCAATCAAACAAAGAATAGGAGGATTTCTGGGAGTAAAACTGCTGATTTAAGGATTTGCTCACTGGCCCAGGTCAGCACCACTGACAGAACTGAGGGTATTAACATCAGACAATCAAATTACAAGAAATAGTAAGATTTTTCTAAGAGTCATCAATTTTTGTATCCTTTAACTTTAGAAAGGAGTTCTAATTGGCAGGTATAAAATTCTACAATTATCTTGTTTAAAATGGTCAGTTTTTTTGAGATCTAAAGCCTGAGATAGATATATATCTATATTTTATATATAGATATATATCTA